ACTTTACTTGTTTAAAAAGAAGTGGTTCCGTCCAATACTCAGTAAGAAAATTAAAGCCTGGCGTGGCCACGTGTGGTTTTGCTGCCAATCACGAGCGATTTCATTTGTTTGAGAATAGTGGTTTCAGCCAATACTGAGAAGGTTATTCAAGCCAGACCTGGCCAGCCGCGCGGGTTTGCTGCATTCATATGCTAATTAGGGCCATTAGTACAGCTGATCGCTCTCCACATACATCATGGTACGTTTCCGACAATTTGTGGCACGACAAACGCGGACAAGCACGGGTTGCAAATTGTCGGAAACTGACGAAAATCAGGCAGATCTGCGGATGTTTACGGGGGTTTACGGGGACGAAAACCTCACTTTTCATGCAGTGCATCTTCCAGCCTTTGTCTCCAGAGGGGCACCAGGCAGGGATGAAGCCCCCCCCCCCCCCCCCCCCCCCTCACTTTTTGCTATTTTTATTGAGCCCTCTAGCTGCTAAAATCAGACAAACTAATGTGGTTAAAGGTATAAAAGGCATGAAAATAGAGCATAAAATTAGTCTTTACGCAGATGATGTATTACTTTATCTCCAGCACTCAAACACTTGCCTCTCTCAAGTGATTAGATTACTAGAATCTTCTCAAAAGTCTCAGAATACTTTATGTAGCATGCCGTCTCCGATCAAGGATGAGACTTTACTGATGGCTTTTATGGATTTTAATTCCTTTACAGTCATTTTCCATAAACCGTAGTCTTTAAATCCACATATAACCACCGTAAGAGCTGAAACACATAACAATTATACATCTTATCATTTTACATTAAACCATTTTAAAAGTTTCATCTTGTACAAAAAATAAACATTGGAAAATACTATTGTACAAATAAATAACACACCTTTTGCTTCTTCGGAGGGGCTGCCAGGACTATATTTTGCGATACCGTAGGTCTGTGTTTTACTTAATGCCATACTTATGTGAGAACAAGCTAACTGACGCTACATTGTGCGGGACCGGAAACACAAAAGCTTAACAAAATAAAAGCACTTAGCTCAAACCGGAAGTTGTTGACATTGTAAAAGAAAAAATGTGTAGAAAACCAATGAAACAAAACTCAACTCCATTTGTTGCAAAAAGAAAAAGGATACGGTTATTTACACTCTATAAATTGGTCTAAATCTATAATACTACCAATTAATTGCTCTCTACAGAATCCCTCAGGTCTACAATTGCAATCAGGAAATATCAAATATTTGGGAATTACTGTGTCTCTAAACTAGCTGAGTTACTAAAACTCAACCACATCCCTCTTTTAAAGAAAATTGAAGAGGACCTAGAAAGATGGAAATCGCTTCCGATCTCCCTTTTGGGTCGGGTAGCATCAATTAAAATGATGGTCTTACCCAGAATTAACTACCTATTTTCAATTATCCCAAATAAACCATCAACCGAATGGTTTAAATCTCTAGATTCTTCCATCTCTAAATTTCTTTGGAAGGACAAACCCCCTCGTATCAGCTTAAAGACACTACAGAAAACTAAAGACAGAGGGGGACTAGATTTACCTAACTTCCAACACTACTATTTAGCAAATAGATTACAATACATCTCTAAATGGATAAAACATAATCCCTTAGATGAGCCCTGGATAGACACAGAACAGGATATATGCAGTAATATCATAATTTCAGATTTGCCGTTTATTAGCTCTAAGATCAAACGGCACCCATGTTTTAAAAATATTAACATCAGCTCTTCCCTGACAGCATGGTGGGAATTTCTAAAAATAACGAACTCATCACTTATCCCGTGCAGTCGTACACCCATCTGGAATAACCCTGACATTCTACAAAACAATAATGTGATAAACTTTCCGTACTGGAAGAATAAAGGTATTACAAATCTGGATCATTTGTTTGAAGGTACGGAGTTTATCACATTCGCTAGATTAAACTTGCAATATGGCATTAACAAAAATAAATTCTTAGAATATGAGCAAATCAAAGCTATAATTAGAAATAAATTTAAGCATATTGATGGAGGTTTAATAATTCCAACTAAAATATCAGAGTTTCTAGAGTTAACCCCCCCCAAACTACTGTCTAAGTTATACAGGACACTGAATAAACTGGATGATCTAATATCTCTTCCTATTATGAAATGGGAGGAGGATTTATCAGTCAGCTTTGAACAAAACATCTGGGCTCAGATTGTCTAAGAACTTTTAACATGACCAGAAACCCCAATTTACAATTAATACAATACAAAATCCTCCACAGAGTGCACTATACAGGTCAAAGATTATTCAAGATGGGTTTTGCGCAATCTAACATCTGTCCACAGTGCACAGGCAATCAACTTGATAATTATTTTCACGCGTTATGGTTATGCACGCCGGTTCAGAGATTCTGGGTACAGGTATGTAAGGATCTATCACTGTGCCTGGGTTGTAAAATCCCAATTTCCCCTTCAGTTTGCTTGCTGGGTGACTTTGAGGGAAGCTCTCTGGTAAAAAATCAGTTTGCATGGCCTTCACTGCATTATGTATCGCAAAGAAAACTATCCTCATGAATTGGAAAAGTAAGGATAAACTCAACATCAATCAGTACAGAGATCTGTTGTTGGATCATATTAATCTCGAAACAGCATCTGCATCCCTATCAGACCGATCTCTCTGGGCTCCCTTGATCAGCTCCATCACTTAGTGTAGTGGGCGGCTGTGGGGCACATCCTATGGGGTGCGGGGGCTGGTTTGAGGGTCCTTGGGGGCTCGGGGGGGCGCTCGGAGCTGGGTGCCTGGTGGGTCTAGCCCTGGGGTCTGTTGCCCCCATCGGGGCGGGGCCTGGGGCGCCTCGGGGGGGTCCTAAGGCGGCCGCATGTGGTGCTCTTGGGGGGTTCCGTGGTGGCGGACGTGGGCTACTGGTCTGGCAGCTGTGCTGCTGCTGGGTGGGGCTGGGTGCCGGGCATCGGTTCTTTTGTGGTGCCGGCCGGGGTGCTTCAGTTCTGCAGGTTGTCGGGGCGTGCCTCGTCTTTCAGTGCTGGGTTTCGGTGGTTGGCTGTGGCGCTTGGTGTGGTTGCGTCGTCCGGGGAGGGTGTATGGGTGGTCGCGCCTGCGGCCAGGGTTCATGTGTGTCTGTTGTGGGCTGGTTGCGGGCGTCGTGGGGCCCCTTTGGGATACCCCCCGGGTCGGGGGTGTGGCTTCGCTTTGTTGGGACTGGTGCCGGTAGTGCGCGGTGCGGTGCCCTGTGCGCGGGGGCAATTTGGGAGCGGAGGGTTGCTCGGTGTTTGGCTGCGGGGGGGGGCGTCTTCCTCTCGGCGGGTCGTGCTGCTTTCGCGCCGGGTGCGGCGGGGTCGCGTCTGCTGCTTTCTTTTTGCTGCTTGTGCCAGCTTCTGGTGCACGGCTGGGACGACTTTGCTGCTCTGGCTCTCTGGCGCGCATTGGGTGGGGCTGCTCTGTCCTTTGTTTGCCTTGAGGCTGTGTTTGCTGTGATCGGTGGGGGTAGAGTGGTTTTGTTGTGTTTTTGGGTGGGAGAGTCCGCCTGGGGGCTTGGTTGGTGCGGTCGGTTCGTCCATATAGGCCTTCCGGTGTTGTTTTCTGTCGGGCCGCTCGGGCCCCCGCGTGCCGGCGGTGCGCTGTCAGTGGGGTTCCTGTTCGGCGGGCTTGTTTGTCTCCTGGGAGGGCAGGCACGTTGATTTTTCTGGGGAGAAGTGGCTGGGTGGAGGGGTCCTCGCGGTGTGGCGGTGGGTGTTGGACACTGACTTGTTTGCGGCTGTTCTTCATCACTGAGGGGGATTTTTTGTGTGGGAGGGGGGGTGTGGATGGAGGAATCGGAGCTTGGAATGGGGCTCAGGATTTGTGCTTTATTGTTTGGTTTTCTTTCTCTTCGGATTGATGTTGTAGGACTGGTGTCGGGGGGGTGTCGTTAGGGGGCCGGTGTCGGGGTGGGGGTGTCGGTGTTGGTGCTGGCGCCGGGGGTTTTTGAGCAATGCCCTGCGTTGCCCTCGGGCGGGGGCCAAGGTGGGGGTTCGGGTTCAGTGGGGAGTACTGCTTGGGGTCTGGGCCGTTGTACGCCCGGCTGTCCACCCCTGCCGTGGCCTCTGGTGTGCTGGGGTGCCTCGGGGCCTGTTGGGCTGGGGGGGCATGGACATTAACAGCTATGGCAGATGCCCCAGCAAGGCCTGGGGCTTTAGGTCTACTGGCTCTTCAGCTCTCCACAACCACTATTGAGCATTTTTTCTATGGTTAAAACTTTACATGCACAAGTTCACCCTCACAAACAACTACAGGTGCTAGGCTTCAGGTACTCAGAGATTCAGTTCCAAACAGAAACCCCACATTCATATCTTCAGGTAACACAGAGTACATGTCAGACTTAATAATATTACTTTAGCGATAGTTTCAAAGTGTTTGCTTTATTGTATATCTCGTACCATGTCTTTCGGTTGTGCTGTTCTTTTTTCATCTCGTTACAGGTGATGAAGCAGACTGAAAATGTTTTGTCATTGTCTCCTTTCTATCTCCTCTTTCTTTCATCTTTTCTCTTTTTCTTCCTTTTCTTCTTCTGTTTTTCTGCTCTACTTACATTGCAGTGTCCACATAAACTGTAAAACTCCCTGCATAATTATAATAAAGCAATTTATATCCATGAAACAAGTGGAGCCGTATGGCAATTGCCGTACTGCTACACTTGTGAAAGTGAAATCTGTTGGACTCTTTTTGGCATCAAGACAATTATTCTTATTGCCACCTTGCCAGACAGGACACTGTAAAAAAAAAAAAAAAAAAAAAAAAAAAAAAAGAGCGTTAGAGTAAACACACATTAGGGCTGTTTTATCCCAGCCCGAAGCAGCAGCCAGAATGCAGAAGTCAATCGCGAAATCGGATACAGACCTCTGTCCTTGTTTAACTTTCAGCATTTCATGGGAGTTCAGTGTCTTATCCAGATCCTGATTAAAGGTTTGCTTGAATTCGGTAATGAATTCCTCAAAAGTGCAGCCATAAACAGGGGATGAGGTAAATCTGACCTCGGCCCAATCCAGAGCTCGGTCAATAAGATGTGAACTGACATAAGACATCTTAATTGAATCCAAAGGGAATTTACTTGGGGCATGGTTGAACTGAATTGTACACTGCATGAGAAAACCCCGGCACTTCTTGGCGTTTCCATCGAACCTGGGAGGACTGGGCAGCTGACACCTGCTGGGCCCGAAGCCTGGAGAGAGAAATGTACAGCCTCGGTTAAATGAGCCACTCCACTGTTTAGCTCTGATAGTTGGCTGCTGAGATTGTGTCTCTGTTAGAGGTCGTGTTTCTGGATCAAAGTTTGTTGAAGGCGAAGTAATCTCTGAATGGCTTCTGCTGGGTCAACGATTTGGCCAGAGTGTTCTGTCATGATTTTCTTAATGGATCAGACCCACATGCAGTAAACCACTCAGAGAACCAGGGTAAAAGTTTTAACAGGTTACTTGATAAGATCAGCGAAGGTAGGATTCAGGAAACTCTGTGTACTCGTGAACCGGAGCTGGAAGAGGGAAGGAAAGTTTCAGTGGTTATTTCAGGATCCATGGGAGCTTAGAACGATGACTTGGAGAGACAGAGAAAAACTTTCTTCCAAGAATCCAGTCGGTGTGGATTTATCCAGAGGTAGAGACTCATTGGAGGGCGGACAGGTTTAGACCTGGTTGGACCCTGGGGAGCTATTGGACGGATTGTCACTTGGAAATACTGGAGGGCTTGAACAGAATTTGTGGAGGTTTATCCCCTTCTCAGTGTGAGACTCAAACGATCCTTCCAGGGGAAGAAGGCCAAACATCCAGCTTGCAGGGCAACTTCCTGCCGAAAAGGCAAAGACAAAAAGGGTTAGGCTCAGTGAAAACAAAGACTCAGTTAGACTCAGCAAAACTCAGCTTGGCTAGAGTACCCAAAATTGGCAAACACACTGGCACCAAGGTAGTGACAGTCCATGGCTCAAATAGTCCTCAGTGATGAGTCAACCAGCCGCAGGTCTGTCAGAGGACCAACAGGACAGGGCACCACCTGGTGGTGGAGGGAGGGAAAGACACAAAAACACAACCCACACAAACTGGATTCCTAACACCGAGCACTCCACAGGTGACCTTTGAGTATGAGGAAGATTTATCATTAACGTAAATAAACTGAAATCGATCAGATAGATAGGATATAAACTAGTCAAGTGCTGTACCTTTAATTCCAACAAAATATTCAAGTCTTTCTAAAAGAATATTATCGTCAACTGGATCAAATGCAGCACTGAGATCCAACAGGACGAGCACAGATACAAGTCCATTATCTGAGGCCATGAGAATATCATTAGTGACTTTCACCAGAGCTGTTTCACTGCTATGATGAGCTCTAAAGCCAGACTGAAACTCTTCAAAAAGTTAATTATAGTGGAAGTGATCGCACACTTGTTTGGCAACTACTTTCTCAAGAATTATAGATCAGAAAGGAAGTTTGGATATAGATCTATAATTGACCAAGTCATCTGGGTCAAGAGACGGTTTCTTAAGCAGAGGTTTAATTCCAGCAACCTTAAAAGCTTTAGGTACATATCCCTGTAACAGAGATAGATTAATCACATCTAAAATGGAGGAGGAGATCAAAGGGAATACCTCCTTAAATAACCTGGTTGGAACTGGATCTAACATCCAAGTTGAAGGCTTAGATGAAGACAATAATTTTGCTAATTCAGAAAGTTCAACTGGATCAAAGCAGTCTAATCCCGGTTCAGATTCCATGACTACCTCAGGTACAATCGCGGATAGAGGAGTGCTAATGATCTTATTTTTAATAAGATCAATCTTATTTATAAAGAATCCCATAAAATCATTGCTGCTAAGAGCAGGTGGAATGGACGGTTCAACAGAGCTATGGCTCTGGGTGAGTTTGGCAACTGCATTAAAAAGAAATCTAGGATTATTCTTATTCTCCTCTATTAATGAGGAGAAGTATGCTGCTCTTGCTTTACAAAGGGTCCTCTTATACAGCAGTAAACTATTTTTCCAGACTAGGTAGGATTCCTGTAGGCCTGTGGAGCGATATTTTCTCTCCAGTTTCCTAGCATTTTGCTTCAAAGTACGCAGCTCTGCATTAAACCAAGGAGCCAGCTTTCTATTTCAAAAAAATTTTCATTTTCAAAGGAGCTGCATTGTCTAAAGCAATAGCAGAGGACCAGCAACCCCATCAACAAAATCATCAACCTGTGAAGGGAAATAAACTAAGCTTTTGCACTCTGCAGCATGGTCATGATTTAAGTAGAAAAAAATGGTGCAAGAATTTTTTTTTTTTTGCCATATTCACAAGTCAGATCTTGGTTCTAGTGGAAAACACAACTTTGCAAAAATCTACTTAAAAAAAACGAAACCCCAAAGTCTGATTCACATATGATATTGTTGCCTTTATTGAGAGCTTTGCCTCTGTAGTGAGGTGAACTCTTAAAGCTCAGACTTAGTTCAGTCTGTGTTTTAATGGGCCTGAAAATGAAGACCTAAAATGGCTGATGGGTGTAATTCAGTAAACCGCTCCAATTTGTGCTGAGATAACACTATCAGCAGAGCAGCAGAGGTTGTTCCTCCCTGTAGTCAGCCTCAAAGTGAATGACAAAGTTCTGTATTAACTGATAGACGAGGCCAAAATTCTTGAAAAATGCTTGAAGTCAGAATGTTGTTGTAGTTCAACATGGGGTCAACATGGTCCATAAAACAACCAGACTTTTCATTCAAGTGACTCTAAACTTAACTTAAGCTTATGTGCCAAACAAAGTTCTGTCTGAATATCAAAATTGGACTAATTCCTTGTTTCCTGCATGTGGTTTGCTAGTTTGCTGGCTGCCTACCTGAATGTGTCACTAATCATGTGATGGAAGATCAGTGGCATATTCCATCAAGTAGACAGTTTGTTAGACATTCATCTCTGTGGAGTGGATTTTAGACAATGAGAGCATTTACAAGAACAGGCTGAAAAGTCAGAGTGAAAGTCAGAAATATTTCTTTACAGCCACTAATCTGTTATTTTCACAATTCTTCATCTTGGGTTTATCCTGATATTTGTGGCATAGTTTACTCATAGATAGTCTTATATTGTAATAATAATAAATTATATTAAAATAAGTTTTTTGCTCCATTCAGGGTTCCCTCCCCTAGACACAGCATTTCTGGGAAACAGACCTGTTTCCTCCCACTGCTGAATAAACATTAGGAGGAGTGTCTTCCTCTCTGAGAATAAATGTCTGAAAATGAAACGCGTCTCAGGGCTCTGGCAACGTTCCTGCAGTAAGTATCATTTTCTTCCCTGGCTTTATTTTTATCAGAAAAACCAGTAAAAACCTGGTTTTCAATCTAAAACCTTTTACAGAAAAAGTGGCATCTACTGTAAACTTTATGTCTGTTTTAACTCAATTTTTTACGCATTTTAAATATCTTCTCTTTACCTTTTGGTTCTTCTGTAGTCAGTCTGGACTATTTTTGTCAATGGGTCTGGTAGGATTTCCACATTAATTCATAATTATAGATCATAGCTATTCATCTATGTTCTGGTTAATTTTGAATTTATCAGCCTTTTTCTGTTCTATTTATTTTTAACAATCAGTGGTATAGTCTATGTGATACGCCGGTATATGCCGTATGCCCACTAGAAAAGCTAGTGAATTTCCGTATAACCACTTAAAAGTGCCCAATAATGCTGCGTTCACACCGGACGCGCGTCAAGGCGCAGCAAAAGGTCCCGCAGCGCGTTTTGAGCAGCAGGCGCGTGCAGCGCGCCGCAAATGCGCTGCTGCTTGAGAAGGAAAAATTGAACTTTTGCTGCTCGTCGCGCCGCATAAACCAATCAGAGACGCTGATCTGGGAGCTGGCCATGAGACAGACACATCGTTGATGACACAGAGCGCTATGATCACTCCTCTGAAACAGTTTATTAACGCCTAAATTAACTGAAAATGCTGAAAATTGTCGGCAGAATATGTTGGCTTTTATTTATGGGGTTCCGTTAGTGCCAAAAATATGTTTATGTGTCTTCTGGTGTGTCCATGTGTCTTCTGGTGTGTCCATGTGTCTATGTAAGGTGTCCATGTATCGTGCTTATGTAATGGAAGCTGTATATGTAGTGGTTTAAATCTATATGTCAGATTCATATGTTGTGTCTATATGCTGTGAGCATAAGTATTGTGTCTACATGAGGGATAATGTGCATTGCATTATTCTTCACTTTATGTTGTTTGACCATGCTGTTGAACCTGTCAGCATGTGATCTCGTTTTGCTGTTGTTTCCTTTGTTGTTACAGCCTGTCGTTCTCCCCTGTCGTCTCCCTCTGCTGTTATACTTGTCGTTCTCCCGTCATCTCCCTCTGCTGGTACAACCTGGCGTTACAACCTGTTGTCTCCTCTGTTGTTAAAACCTGTCGTTCTCCCCTGCCGTCTCCCTCTGCTGGTACAACCAATCGTCTCCTCTGCTGTTACAGCCTGTCCATGGTAATGCTCAGTGAAGCTCAGTTTTACAGCAGAGGCGTTTGTGTCATTGACTCTTATTTTGAAATCTCCATTAAACTGGAAGTGTGTACGTTATGTTATCATGACCGCATTGGTCAGTAAGTGAAAAACTAAGGCGTTTACCAGAGCTAATAATGTGAACAGTCAGATTTGAAGGGAGTTATTACTGTTGTGACATTAAAGATTAAAACAATATAGATAAAATAGCCAACCACTCGCAAATGGAACCAGGTAACGGCACAAGACAGCAACAGCAACCCACCATTGTAAAAGCAATGCAACGCCCCGTTAACGGGGACAATGACAAGTATAACGGTAACAAGTTGTAACAACACAGAAGACGGCAGGGGACAACGACAGGTTGTAACGCCAGGTTGTACCAGCAGAGGGAGATGTATCTGTATTTTGTATTTTCATCTCTTTTTATTTATTTTTTTTTTATTATTTGTAAAGTGACCTTGAGTGTCAAGAAAGGCGCTGTTAAATAAAATGTATTATTACTATTATTATTATGACGGGACAACGACAGGTATAACAGCAGAGGGAGACGACAGGGGAGAATGACAGGCTGTAACAGCAAAGGAAACAACAGCAAAACGAGATCACATGCTGACAGCTTCAACAACATGGTCAAACAACATAAAGTGAAGAATAATGCAATGCACGTTATCCCTCATGTAGACACAATACATATGCTCACAGCATATAGACACAACATATGAATCTGACATATAGATTTAAACCACTACATATACAGCTTCCATTACATGCACACCTTACGTAGACACATGGACACACCAGAAGACACATAAACACACCAGAAGACACATAAACATATTTTTGGCACTAATGGAACCCCATATTTATTATCCTGCTGCCTGTAGTTTGAATTATGTTCATGAAAACCGCTTCCAGCCGCCGCAGCGAACCGCAAGGAGCAGGGGCGGATCTAGAAAAATATTTATGAGGTGGCGAGAGGGGGGCAGGAATTTTTGAGGGGTGGCAACATATGGCATTTGTTTTTATATTTAATTTAATGACAGTTTGGTGTTTCATGTGAAGCAGTCCATATTAGTAATACATCGTACAATGTGATGTCACTTAATAGGAGATAGAAGAATGATAACACTACTTCTAGAGGGGCATTATCACAGGAAAGGTATTAAGGTAAGACACAGGTGCTGAGTCGCAGATGTGTGAGATTGACTGTCAGAGAGGCAGCTTTGCAGCATTTGACCAAGAAGAAACGATAGAAAGAAAAAGTTCCCCATCAGAGATCTATGGACTGAGCTGGACTACAGTGAGCAGAACTACACAGTAGAAATAAATGGGTCAAGGCACCCGAACAAGGTACTGGACATCTATGTAATGTTTACTCTGAACACACATTTACCCCATTTGTTCCTCAGTAACTTGACATACAGCAGTTAAGGCAACATGAAAGGGACATTTCATGCATGTAGATCTGCTGTAGATAGAGCTGCTGTATCAACAAATCAACAAAAAGGCAGGTACTGGATGTTACATCAAAATCTCCACTAATCTGAAAAGAAGCAACATAAAAATACATTTTGCTTCCAATCTGAAAAAGAACAAAACATTTTGTGAGTAGGTTCATACAGGTCATTTCTGGATAGTTTCATATTATATATACAAAAAAAGAAACAACAACACTGCTTCATATTAAGCAGGATTTACTCCAGTATCACATTTTTTAACTTTTAACACTTTTGGTTTTATTAAAGGAAATATCAGATTTTCTCAGGTGCCAAAACAAAATGTAACATCTCTGTAAAGGCTCACCAGAGAGCAGAACATAAAGTTAACATGACTATAACAGCTGAATGCAGTGATTTCCATGTTGTTCAGCAAAACGCTTCACAACTTTATTTAGATCCAATGCCTTTGTGCGTTTTGATTTGAGTTCAACCAAACTTGATAGTCTCTTTTCTGTCATAGTTGACCGTAAATATGTCTTTATGAGCCTGAAACGTCAGGCCTAACTAACATCATAGATAGAGAAATAACGTTCTGCAACCTGATTTTTATCATCTGTAAATCAGCATTGCAGCTATGCTAGCAACATTGTGCTTTTATTATGATTTCATTTCTCGATAGATAGTTAATCAGTTTTTACCTGTTTCATTCCGTTTCTCCTCTCCCCATGACCCCTGGCTCCCTCGCTTTGCCCCGCTCGCTTTTCAAAACAATCAGTCTCAGTCGCTCTCTGTCATCTCGTGCTGCATTCACTGCAGTCCGACATTGGAAATTAGCGGTCGTAATTTTCAAATTATCCTTAATTTATAAGCCCCGCCACCCCTACCGCCAACTGGGGTGGCAGCAGGGGTGGCAAGGCTGTCATTTAGGGGGGCATCTGCCACCCTATGCCACCCCAGTAGATCCGCCTATGGCGAGGGGGCGACCGGGCCATAGGCTGCTGTTAAATGTGATTCCTACTGACAGCGCACCGCCAGTATGGGGGGTCTGAGCGGCTCCAACAGAAATAATATTGTGTCATGATGGATCAAAGGAGCAAGCCCTTATGCAGAACACACACGGAGGAGGCAGGGAAAAAGTCCAAATGTTTATTTAAAGTTCTGAACACGAGAGAATAAACAAGTTCTGAGAATGTTTCACTGAAGTCTTGACTGGGACCGGAGGCTGTTGGTTAGTAGAGTTTATGAGAAGCTAAGCGTCTAGCTTCAGGCTTAGCATGGCAGACCAAAATCTGAGCTTCCAGCTCACTGCAGAGAACAACAGGGAATATCCACATAGGATTCCTCAGGCTGATTCCACATAGGAACCTTCAGGTTGGCTCACCAGGGCAGATCAGCAGGTTAGGCTCACCTAGAGCTTCAGGCTAGCGACAGGTTCCCTGTGAGGCAGCTCTTCCTGAGCTTCAGACCAGAGACAGGGTTCCAGTGAGGCACAGACGAAGGAGAGATTAGAATCTGATCTCACACTGGAGACAACTAAGATTCAATCTTTAACAGAGGCTCAGGAAGCTAACCAACTAAGATCAACACTGCGGCGTAGAAGCAAGGTCTGGCAGGAGCTTATAAAGGGGAGGTCTCCTCATGGGTGGATTAGCAACAGGTGTGCAGGAAGACTCCAGCCCTAGGAGACCCACGGCGCACTCTGCTGGAGACAGAGGGTAATCTCCAGATCCCAACAGTAACTCCAGTCCTAAAAGAAAGTAACAAAGAGCAGAAGAGGATCCTCAGCGCCCTCTGGTGGGCAAGCCTGAGGATCCCAACATATTGCAAGGCCGGATGGTAATCTAGATGAACTGACTGCACTTATGAAGTTTTCAGGTGTATTTTCTCACTTAAAAACATATTAAAACTACTTTATTCCCACTAATCACAGCAAATATAGCTGCAAGGCAAAGAAAGGATCGAGCAGGGAGCCTGAAAACCTTAAACCACTGATCACTTGCATGCAAACCATTTCATGCAGCACAGCTGAGAGTGAAAGAGGGTTCAGCTTAATGAACAATATCTGTACAGATAAAAGATCTTCTCTGTTGTCAAATATAAGTCATCTCATGATGATCAGTATAAATGGGCCTCCTGTTAATCTTCTTGAACCTAGAAGTTTGTGACATCATGGTTAAGAAACCAGCGCTCTGCAACAGAAACAAGAAGACAAGTGAAACATAAGGAGCCTCAAAACAAACATGTCTGGAACATTTTATAGACGCAGTTTTAACCTGCATAGTACTTCTGTACTTACATGTAGTACTTGATACTTAAGCATGTTTTGTTGTACTGTTTTATAGATTCTACGTCTTTTAATACAAAGCCGACTGTAGTACAGTGTGTTGTTCATTGATTCAAATGTTAGCAACAGAGAAATGAAGCAATGTTAAATATGCTTAAAAAAAAAAAAAAGGTCAATTACATTGGACTTACTGGCGTGCTTATTTCTAAGCACAGTTTACCCACTACAATAATGTAGCCTAGACCACTGCCATCAATAAAATAGAAAATGGTTCATGGCTCTGGTTCTGCCCGCCCTCAGCGCTTCAATAACTGTATAAATATCATAGAGTTTGGAGCAACATTTCGTAAGATTATCCTTAGAATTTGCAAACACTTCAGAAATTTTGCCCTGTAAATTCTTTTTTTTTATGATTTAGAAAACAAGATGGAGTCTAAGGTGATCGAGGTGGCGACTCTTGGCCGACCATTCAGCCTTGGGATGCTGTACGACTGCAGAGAGGACACAGTCATTCCTGGTAAGGATTTCTACATTTTATTTTCTTCATGTTCTTCTTTCTGATTCAGACTTGATTCATTTTTGTAATTTTACATAAAAAAACAAAATAAATCAAACAATATTCCTAAAAGAATAGTATTATTAAAAGATGCCAAAAAACAACAGATGGTAAAATAATAGATCAGATAAACTCTTTTTTTATCCGTATTTATCTCAAATCGTGATGAAACATGTACAACTGAACTCACAACGTAAAAAGAAATAGTTGTGATATTCCACCTCTATATTGTTCATCCTTTATGATTTTCTGGAATAAACACATTTTTAAACTACCTGTTTGGGAGATAGACTGGCCAAAGTGTCTGAAGAAGGCAGATGACCAGTGTAGCAGCTGTTTTCTTTACATCCAAAAAGGTGAATAAATAAATTCCCCATAAACACCTCAAAGGTTGTCATGAGATGAGCCGAGGCTTCGAGGCCTGTGTCGAGTAATGGAGGGGGCTTTTCCCCGAAGCGCGTGTTGAGGCGTGATTTATTTAGGGGAGGGGCCAAAATTGATGACGTCCGATGCCTCGCTACCGTGATACCATGTTATCACTTCAGGAAGTAGTTCAGAAAGCACAAGAACTTCAACAGGCTTTAAACATCCTCACTCTGTGGTAGTTTGTAGGAGAGCTGCTGTCAGCTGGACATAGTTTGCATAGATTCTAAGAATAGATTGGTTGGAAAAACAACCAATCTAGTTGGTTAAAACTATTTTTGAGGGATAAAACAATGTATGATCAAAATCTGAGCAAACCACTGGACACAGTTGTAACTTTAGGGATAAGTAGTTATGTGTATTATTGTTAGTGGCATCAGCTGTAAGACACTGACTTCCACTATTGAGGTTGATGGTTCAAGACCTGCCTATAACTATATAACCTGATTAAAACCAAAAACTGTTGTTTGAATAAAAATGACCAACACCTTTCACGTTTCTCATCATTGCCCAATTTTCAGAAACACTTTCACTGTCTGCTTCCGTTTATTTCACTAAAATGCGAGAAAAACAAGCACCTTAAATGATTGTTCTCTTTTAGGACATTTTACACTTCAAAGGAAAACAAATGACAAAATATTCTATTATTAACAGCAATCATTAACAATTTCAAAGGAACTTTAAAAGGGGAAAAACTATAAAAAACAAACAAAGACATTTTATTACAAACTGTAGTTCTGCACTCCACCAGTAGGTGGTGACATATTCAAGAGGCTTCATGAACTGTGGGGATCGTTGAAGCAATTTGTTCAAACGGTTCGATGCCTCAGGAGGCTTCATCTCACCATCACTACTCAAAGGTTTAACATGGCTCAAGAGAACATTAACACCAGGTGAACCTAGCTACACTGACATGGTTCTCCTCCTGAAAATCACAATTCCCTCTGCTCTGATATACCTCCAGTCGGAAAGACAAAATGGCCTCCAATGGTCTCTTCCATTAACAGATGCAGCTAAGCAGTTTATCCTTTAATTTGCTGAAGTTACTGTAGTGGTGATTGTTTGCCAGGCCAAACATCCAATTAAAGTTCCAATAAAGCCACTACTAAGGCGCTGGGGTCAATTTTCTATACGCAGGCATAGGAAGTTTCAATGTTCAGACTTGATGATAAAGACTACAAACTTTTTATTTTGTGGGGCGGCAACGTTCCAATGGCGTCCTCCTGGAGAGGGACCGGTCGTAACCAGCGGTAGCGTCGGGCAGAGTGAGAAGAGCCGGTAGTTCGTGTAGCATGTTTGATCTTTAGCTGGACACCAGATCTGCAGCCTCTCCTCCGTGACCTTTTCTTGGAATTACCTGGGACTTGCAACAAGAGCAGGTATTCAGGGCAAGAGGGCGGGAACACAACCGGTGGAGGAAACGTTCGTTTGTAGCTGTCCCAGCCACCGCAGCGGCATTCCATAGCCGTTTTGATGCCAAAAAGAGAGCTGCGATCATAAGTCCAATTAGCGCTGGCACATCCATTGGGTACTAAGAAAAACAGAACGGCGTAGATTACTGAAACCAGTGAGAAAGATCGACCAGCGGAGAGACAGGCAGAGGCGAGCCCACTAGGGGTGTAAATAATAATCGTTTTGTATCGATGCATCGATCCAAAAGCCGACGATCCGATGCATCGACACGTCTGCAAGATAATCGATTAATGTTTTTTTTTCCTCCGGTCTATTTTTATCCATTTGCTCCTGGGCGTAATTCTCCTCCCGTGCTGCGGTGGCGCTAAACCTATTTTGCCCTCCTACCTTTCTTCCTGGTTATACTCTTACAGCAGTTTGTTGCAGCAAGCTTCACACAGACATTTTTAAATTATGCTCAGTATTGAAGCGTGGTCTGTGCTACACGCTGTGGGTCTAGATACGGCCGAGGCGATGAGGAAGTGGGGGCAAGTTTAGTCCGACGACGAAGGGACATGAGGGCAAAAAGAGCGGAGATTCAGCTGGAAAAAGGCTCCCAGCGTTCTCGCGCACCTCGCTCTTCTAGCGGGTCAAACTTCACGAGTTGTTTTCTGCAATTTCGGTCATAAAAACAAAACAAGCCGGCCTTCTGTCTGCGGCGCTGTTTGCGGTCAGCTACAATCTGGGAGAGGAGCAGCGGAGCGTCTCTCAAGGGGCGGTGACGCAACACTCTGGAGCCTTCTTCTTCTTCTTTATTTTAATGGCGGTTGGCAAACACCTTATAGGTGCATTACCGCCACCTTCCAGAATGGAGTATGGACCAGACAAACTATTACGGTATATTCTCCCTAAAATACCCGTTCTTCTTAGAAAATTAAAAATACTACCAAAAACTACATCCCCAGATGACCTTTGAAACAATTCCCTTATATGTAGTTTATTTTTATTCCTGTCTAACTCTCTACGGAACATCTCTCTTTCCTGAGTATATTTATTACATTCTAAAAAAATATGTTGGACAGTTTCTCTGGAGCCGAGGTATTGCATTGAACTCATTACACTGATATTGTGCAGGATTTTTGCAGTATTTTTTGATGCAACTTTTCTACTTCTGTTATTTGTTGTTGTTTCTAAAGAAAATGCATAATGATATTACAGCTTTCATTGATTTATTTCAAACTTGAAACTTTGTTTAGCCTGTAAGGTGTAAAAAAAATAATAATAAAAAAATAATAATAACCGATTAATCGATTAATCGATTAATCGAATCGAATCGTGGTGTATTCTTGAGTATCGAAAATAATCGAATCGTTGGGTCAGGAAATCGATACTGAATCGAATCGCCATGATGGATGTGATTTACACCCCTAGAGCCAACACACAGGCGCCATCTTTTACACACAGGCGCCAACTTTTACATTATCAAATTGTTAATGATAAGATGATCAAATCTTTTCTAAGGTTTTTTTTGTGTGTAAAAGAAGAAGAAGAAGAATATTTTCAAGTTTACTGTTTTTCTGTCATTTTAGTGAAATAAGCTCAAGCAGACAGTGAAAATGTTTGTGCATGCTGAGCAGTGATGAGCAAAATGAAAGGTCATTTTTATCCAAAAATGAGAGTTTTTCCACGTTTTTTGGTTTTAATCAGGATGGAAGTTGTATCCAACCAATCTTTCTGTTAAACTAACCAATCTAATTTGGCTGTGTTTTTACCCAATCTATACTGGTAAAATGGCAAACCAGTTCAAACTGGTCACATTGGCCTTAATACTGGTTAAGTAGCATAGCAAGTTACAAAAGCCGCATCCAGGTTGAACGCTTGAATTGAAAGACAATGTCTTAAAGCAGACGTGCCTTTCAAAACAACCTCTTTTTAGAAACAATACTACTGAATACTAACAATACAACTGAAACCAGTGACTTGGTCAGATCTGATCATTATATTGTTTAATCTAACTAAAATTGTTTTAACCAATTAGATTTTACTGTCAAAATAATTTTCCCCCTTTTTCTAAAATTTTATCCATCGAATAACTTTTTCATTATTAGTCCTTGTCACAGTTACAGGGGTGCTTGTATCTTTCTCCAGCTGAGATTTGGGGTCCCTGTCCCTGGACAGAGAGGTGGGGTCCACCCTGGACAGGTCGCCAGTCCATCGGGCAAAGCAGAGACAAACAACCATTCACACAAACACTCACACCTAAGGACAATTTAGAGAAGCCAATTAACCAAACAGTCATGTTTTGAACTGTTGGAGGAAGCCGGAGTACCCGAAGTGAAACCACCATGCTCAGGGATAACATGCAAACTCAATGCAGAAATACCCCGGGCCAGGAATTGAACCCGGAACATTCTGCAGTGCTACCCAGTGCACCACCATGAAGCCTTTTAAATTTAATAAAAAGAGAAAAATAACTCCACATCTCTCACTTTAAAATATCTCCTGAAATAATCCAAACTGGTGTTTATTTTTTTTTCTAGTTTTCCTTAATTGTAACTTTTTTTTTTATTAAAAATGTACTGAATCAATTGCAGTGAGGGGGTCAGAATGTATCCAACTTGGAGGTTTTTAGGGTTATAGTAATATATTCTAGTTTTAATCCTATTATTTTTAAAACCCTTACCCTATAATTTTCATCTTGCTTAATTAAGAAAGGTGTACATTTATTTGAGATATTTTCCAGCCATGGACATCAGGTCCTTTTTCAAAAGGCAGTTTTATGATCAGGTGGGCGGAGTTCCAATGGCCTCTTATTTAAAGAAAACATATCACATATACCTAAAGCAGATCTATTTATATGTTTATTTACTCTAATATTACATTTTTTTATCACAAACATTTTCTTGAAACATTACTTCTGCCTGTATTTTTAATGGTCAGTGTCAATTTAGGGCGTCCCTCTGTCCTGGGCCTGGGACAACTGACCCATCTGTCCTGCCCTGTTGCCAGGCATGTTTGCAGTGCTTGAAAGAATTATATTTTTTATGTGGTTCTGGTTGATCTTTTTATGGTACCACAGAGAGAGAGAAAAATGACAACAGCACTTTATATTATAATGAAATATTTAGTGGTCTAAGCCCCTGATG